GGCGACAGGGATGCGACGGGGAGGGGACGGGGGGCGACGGGGGCGCGACTCGGAGGGGGGGCGGGAGGTGACGGGGACGCGACGGGGACGGGACGAGAGGTGACGGGAATGCGACGGGAAGGGGACGGGAGGCAACGGGCGCGCGACGGGGAGGGGACGGGGGGTGACGGGGGCGCGGCGCGGAGGGCGACGGGCAGGCCCCTATATTGGTTTTGGGGTAGGCTGAAAAAACAGAGTTCACTGGCAAATTTACGCTGAAAATCAGCCAAAAATGACAATTTTAATTAAAAACCACTAGAAAATCACCAAGTTTTCTGGGGGAAAGGCTGGCAGATCAGCCTTGGTACAGAAAAAAAGGCTGAAAAAGGGCTAAATCGGCGTAAAAAGGCTGAAATCTAGGGGCCTGGCGACGGGGGACGCGACGGGGAGGGGACCCGCGGGGGTCCCTTCCTAGCGCGATCTGACGGGCCCGCGGGGGCCGTTCTAGGTCGTGACGTGTGGGGGACCCGCGGGGGTCCCTTCCTAGCGCGATCTAGCGGGCCCGCAGGGGCCGTTCTAGGTCGTGACGGGTGACGGGCGGGGCTAGCCGGCTGACGGGATCGACGGGGGGGCGCTACGAGTGACTAGGCGCTACGGATGACGAGGCGCTACGGGTGACGAGGCGCTACGGGCTAGGTCAGGGTACGGGGCGGTGGGCCCATAGAATCTTATCGCTCTATATCATGTCAAAGTAACAACTGGTGAATGAATGATGAAATCAAGGGCATACAAGGGTTGATATAGCAAACCCTAACCCTAGTGCTAGGACAAATGTAACGCAATGTAAAACACCTAGACTAAACAAACAAACCATAACAATTATAGTTTGACAAATGCAGCTCCGACAGCTCGCTCTGTCCCGGAACCGACACTCGACCCGTAAAAAGAAATGGCGCATCGTGTTCGGCTCGACGCCTCTGGCCGCCACGTGGACTTCCTAGTCCGCTGGACCGACCGCAGCAGTGAAGATGACACCTGGGTGCCATCCACCTCGCTTGAAACTTACCCGCTCCTTATTGATTACCTCGCCCGCAAGCTAGCTGCAGATATTGACCACCTTTCTTAAGGGCGGGGGGGGGGGGGGGGGGGGGGGGGTATAAGAAAAAATCTTTTTTCTTATCGGGGTTGACTGCTACGCGTACACCTCGAACACTTTCAGACTTCGCACGTTCGCCCGAAATCCACGATTCCGAGGCTGCCCCGCGTTGCCTTCGGTTTTCCGTTCGCCAAACCTGCACCCGACCTCGTTTTCCCGATGTTTCCTCCTAGCTAGGGTACTCACTATATTAGCACGTGCCTTCATTGTATTATCAATTCATAGATGAGTCACAGCCTCGTTATTCGTTTTCCGCGCAACTCTGTTTTACAACTCATAACATAAGCTGTAGATCCACCATTTTGTTTCCTCGTTTGTTTACAATGGCCAGATGTCAGGCTACCCTGTTGGCGAGGAAGTTGGGTCAAAGCGAGTCTTACCGTTTAGATGAGAGAACCCGTTTAGTTGGGTTAAAGCAAGTGGGTAGGCGGATTACGATCGACAGCCGGGGGTAACCCAAAGGGGGCTCTCCCCCCTCCTTTACCTTTACCTTTACCTTTACCGTTTAGATGAGAGTACCCGATTGGCCAATATCATTGATACTCAAAGTATGCCAGAGATATTTTGCATCGGTACTCAACCTCGATTTCTCATCGCTGATTGGTTCTCGCTTTTCAATCACATTCACGCTAATAACACCTCCGAAAAGTGATAGAAACAGAACGCGATTACCTAAGTTAAATATGAACAATTGTGTCGAGGTGCTACCCAAGAATAAGCAAAAATATCATTGAATACTAAACCCTAAACATCATGCGACAAGGTGTTTAGGGTTGATGCCATCCTGACTGGATGCCTTCCACATGGGGTTTATTTTTTATTGCCCGCAGGCAGCAAGCTCCGCTGAGCGGTGGCGTTTGTCCGTTGAGATAATCCAAGTGGAAGGCATCACCCCTAAATACTTGACGACTTTCCGTATTTAACGTTAATATCCAAGCGTTTTAGTATTTTTCCTGTTTTGTTGGGTACGTGCGGGTGAGGTGTTGGTGGCGACTTTGTTTCAAAACTGTCCTTATAAAAGACAATAAACAGTATATTTAGTTACTATACCGAGAAATTGTCGGTTGAGTATCAATGATATTGGCCGTTTACCTTTACCTTTACCGTTTAGATGAGAGAACCCGATTGGTCGCGATGCAGGCGATGCTGGCGACCACTGTCGCCTGCAGAAGTTAGGTTCGGTGTCCCAAGTGGGATAATTCCCCACCAGGGCACCATCAGGTTCGTAGTCTGGTGGGGCAACTTTGATGGTGTCCAGACCTGGGACTGCAATATCAGCTTTGGGACGAACCATTCAGGTGTTTCTTTCCCGGACGTCGGACTGGGATACACCTCGGCCAGCCGGGCACATCAGCTGCTTTGGGCAGGGATTTGTTGGAATGCTGAGCTGGATGACCCGCTGGGCTGCTGAGACCAGGCGACTGAGTCGCACAAATCGTAGGCAAAGGTTTGCCACCCACCACAACTATTGGATGGATGCCGTGGTCAGTTGTTTTGGCTAGCTTTGGCAAGCAAGCTCACACATCGAGTGCTGGGTTGGGGGGATACTGTCATCGTCGCACATGCTGAATTCTGTACTCGTGCAAAACATTGGGGGGAACGTCATTAGGGCGTGTAAAATTGTTACGACCACACGCTATGGTCGATAATTTGGGCGTTTCTGGCGATTACGAGGAATTAGGGTTACGCTGATGCGAATAGTCACCCCGGTCTGACTCATTTTCAGTGGTAATTTTGGAACAGAGGTTTTCGCACCGCTTTTTGGGACATGATTTAACTGATGCTCAGCGGGGGATTTGTTTTTTTTTCCGTTTACCGAAACCCACTTCTTTGGTAAACACTCTAGTCTAGGCTTCAGTCACCCCGTATTCCACACCCCTTTCGAATGTAGTAAGGGAATCGAAACATTTCCTTTTTAATTAAGAGGGTGGTTTGGGGTGAGTGCTCCAAATGTTGACGATTTTTTTGGCGGGTTTCGCTTAAGTGTTACATATTTCGCACTCGCCAGCAACGCCCAAATGATCGACCATAGCGTTTGGTCGTAACAATTTTACACGCCCTCAGTACTATGTACTTGAAATGCGAGACAACCACGTTACAGGTGCACATGCGGCGGCTTGGGACGACGTCCCAATGACGTTAAGGCGAGGTAGCAAGCACCATCATGTGGTCCTCCGTAATAGCCGCGTGCTCGCCGTCGCCTTCTTACTCGTGAGTGCAGCCTTTCGAGGTGATTTCCTAGTCCGTTCAAGCTTCTCTCAGATAGATTTTGAGTTGTAGTTGTTCCCGTTTCTATTTGCCGCGATGGACCTCATGATTGTGAAAGCTTTTAGGCCCGTTGCTGAGAAGTTTCTGTAGACACATAAAGCTTTCAAAAAAAAAAAAAAAAGGTGGTGATTTGCTATTTTTTTGCTATCTTGAGAATCCCGGGCTTTGTTACCCGTAGAGTGTTTTTTAAGCAAACTTATCATGGGATCCGCCCAAAAATTAGTGGTTAAAAAAAATAAAAAAAACGACAGAATCAAGAGAGGCACGGACTTGCAATTGGCACCACTGATGCAAAGTTGTGCGAAGCAACAGGCATGTTGGTGGCGAAGATCTGTTCCTCCCGTTGTTGAGCCTCGTCCTTAGATTGGTAGCCACCTTATACCTTTTTTACCTCTCGTGCTCACTTCACCCACCCATAATCTCTCTCACCGAATCCACGGTCTCACTGGTTAAATTCGTTGAATCTAGTCGAATAGCCGATCCGCAAGCCCAAATGGCCCATCAGCAAGCGGCCTGGCCACCTCCTCGTGCTCACTCCCACCCATCCATGCTCACTCACCAATGCTCACTCCCACCCAGCCATGCTCACTCCCACCCACCCATACTCAGTTCCACGCATTCATTAGCAAACCCCCAACTAAGACATTCCATTCTACCCCTTTTCGTTCTCCCATCCGCCCCGTCCCCCGTGCTTCTGTTTCCCCCCTGGCAGCAGCTCCTCTCCCCGTTGCGCGCATCAGCGTCCCCTCCCAGGCCGTTCTTGGATTTCACATTCTCGGAGGCACAGTGTGGCACCTGGGCGGCTGACTATTCCGCCCTGCACTCCCGCATTCGCCAAGCTGCCCGCGCCCACGCCAGCACCCTGGCTCAGACTGCTGCTGCTGCTGCTGTTGCTGCTGCTTCTGCATTACCACTGCCGCCGCTGCCACCACCGTCACCACCACCACCACCATCACCACCACCACCATCACCCCCACCACCATCACCCCCACCACCATCACCACCACCACCGTCACCCCTCCTTTCCTCACCTCGTCCGCTATCTCCTACTCCTCCATCTCCCCCTCCCCCGTCCCCTCCTCCACCATCCCCCCCTCATCCACCTCCGCCCCCACCATCCCCGCCACCCCCAGCCGAGTACCCCCAGCCGCCCAGGGACCCATCCATCCGCTTTCTCACATACGAATGGCTGGATGAACCAGGCGGGCTAGGGGACTATCTCACAGGGCTGGCCACCAGCTTTGCATGCGCCATGCTCACAAACCGGGCCTTCATTGTACGGCACGCTCTCCTGCCGCTTGCATTCGAGCCGAACCTCATTGATTGGTCCTTCTCACCGGAGGTTCCTGTGGAGCCGGCTCGCGTGATGAATATTGATGATGTGATGGGATGGGGCGAGGGAGGGGGGCCTGAAGGAGGAGGAGAAGGGGGAGAACGAAGAAGAGAAGGAGAAGTCGGAGGAGAAGGAGGAGGAGGAGGGGGGGGAAGGCGAGAAGAGGCAGAGGAGGTAGTACAGGTTGGGGAGGTGGTGGAGGTGGACTTGAAGAATCAGCGGTTTGTGGAGCCAGAGGATATATTCGCACAGCTGGATAAGGCGATGAACGTGCGCCTGTCGTGGAACAGAGGACTGCTTACTTACTGGCTTGCGGAGGTGGGTGAAGTGGTTCTGTAGAAACAGGAAGGAACTCTTGCGTCATCTGACATGGGGAAGGCCTTAGCACGTACTGGATCGTACAGGTGAGCGATATGTGCAGGTGAAGCAGCAGGAGGGGTTGGGAGGCTGAGGCGGAGGTAAGAGACATAAGCCCAGGGGGGTGCTCACAACGCGTCTTGTGCAGGTGGGTAGTGTTTTTGTGGAAGAAATGGGAGGAGAAGTGGAGGAGTAATTGAGGATTAAGGGGATGAGAAATGGAGGAATGGGTGAGAAGGAGGGGAGAAGGAGTGGGAGGACAAGGGGAGAAGGCGGGTGGGAAAGGGGACGACAAGCGAGAGGATCGGGACGAAAAAGGGAAGGGGAAAGGGAAGAAGAAGGGGAGAGGAAGGGAGAAGAGGAGAAGTGATGAGATCAGCAGAGGAATCAGCATTGATACAAACAAAGGACCTTTTGAGAGGAATAAGTGGAGAGACTTACAAATGGAGAGGGCATGGGAAACTAAATGCGGTGCTGTGCGCAAATATATGCAAACTAGCTCGACTGAGCGAGGGCTTCAAATAGCACATTATCTCTCCGCCCTTCCCTCCCTCTTTTTCATGTCCATGTGCTGTCCATATCACTTGGGTGGGTTCAGGAGGAGGGCAAGAAGTGGAGTGAGAGGCTCAAGGACATGGGCATGCGGCCTCCCTACAGCTTCGGCTGCATTCTCCGCTTTCTTCTCAAGTACGTAACCATAGGAAACAACTTTTGGAGCGGCTCAAGGCTGCTTTCTTCGCTCTCTCCTCCAGTACGTCCCCATGGACATTGGCGCACATATTACATCTCTTTAAGTCATGTGAAACCATGTGCACCTTTGCCCCAAGGCTTCATGGTTTCAAGACAGCTACGCATTCCCCTGCCCTTGCAAGCCTATCCCCTTCCCAGCTCGCTTTGCTTTGCCCCGGGGCCTCTGGTTTCTCGACAAACACCCCTTAGGCCGCAATCAGATGTCACATCAACTGTCCAATCCAAGCTACGTCAACTGTGTGTGACCATTCCAGTGGACTAGAAACCCTCTCCGTTACCCCTCCACACACACCCCCTGTCCCCCCTCCTCCTCCCCACCTCCCCCCTTTGACAACCACCACCAGGCCCCTGCCAGACATCCTGTCAAGAACTGAAGCTATGTACCACCACCTCTTCTCCCCTCTCGACTCCTCCTCCCCCCCTTCGGCCCTCCTCCAATCCCAAACCCCACATCACCTGAGTTCTGGACAATCAGCGGCCTCCCATTACTCCTCAAGCGATAGGGTGGTGGTGGTGGGCATGCACATGAGAGCACCTGACTCGTTCGTGTGGCAGGGCGAGAGTGGCTTTGGAGATCCCAAGGTTCTGAGTGAGACAGAGAGAACTGAGCTCATCAAGTGGGCTATGGGCTACGTTGCTTGTGCCCAGGTGAAAAGTTTGCTGTAAGGATTGTGACATGAAAATCCGCCCTTTCCCTTTCTATGTTGTCGGCTGCCTTTTCTTCATTCTTTTCCCTCCTCTCCTGCATCAAGTTCCCATGCATGTTCCCTACGTGCCTCGGATTCAGAGCATCCTTTTCCCGTGCCCCGTGTTCATTCCAGTAACTTTTCGTGCTCCTATTTTTCCGAGCTTCCGTTTCCTCACAGAGGCTCGAGGCATGGTGGGTGCCTCCTCCCACCATTGTTAAATGGCTTATCATCAGCAACTCTCAGGATTTGAAGGCAATATTGAAACTCATATACCCTGACAAGGTATTTGTTTTCTCTCTGTAATGGTAAAGGAGTCTGTCGAAACTGTGGGATGGGGGGGGAAGCATGGGGAGATGGCAATGAAACTGGGGGGGAGGGCAGGGCGGAGACCAGCATAGTTCTACTCTGCAAGGGGAGGTAATGCGGGTAAGAAGGGGGGAAGCGGGTTGCTGAGAAAAAATCCTAGGCAACAGAAACTGCTCACGCGTGGCAGGGGGTGGCGAGAAGGTAGGCCTTGGGTGGAGGTGTATGCAGATTTGGGAGATAGCTAAGAAAGAAGAAATGACAGAACCAATATTGAAAAAAGAAGAACAAGGCGAAGAAGCATTATATGCACCCCCACCCCCTCCCTCCCCCCCACACCCCTACCCCCCACCCCTCCACACACACACCCACGCACGCATGCACGAAGGCACGCACGCGCGCACGCACGCACGCACGCACGCACACACTACACACACTCTACAACCAACCTTCAGCCCTCCTTTTCCCACGCTTCACAGGCACATAACATTTCTTGCACACTGTTCCTGGTTCCCTCAGCACATCTGTTACGCATTGGTTCTTCAGCATCATGATCATCTCCTCCCTGAGCCCTAAGCCCTAAACCATGGCAATGTTACACATTGTGGTCTCACACACTCTTCCATATTGTGCCATTTGTGTAAGTGGCATTCACTTCACTATCCCCTTAAGTTTCGCAAATTCCATTCTCATATTTGTCACAGGAGGTGGTATCAGATATTGTCCCGATGCATGTCAACAACCTCATGCTCGATGCTGCTGATCCATCCTCACCACCCTCTTCAGCACAAGCGACTCCCACTAAACAAGCATCGGTTTATACTGGCGCTATCACAGAGTGGCTCCTTTTGGCAGCTTCTGACATTCTTGTTTTATCCATGTCTGGATTTTCTCACACGGCAGCGTTTTTCTCGTATCGCCTAAACGCTGTCCATGACCTGGATACCTGCGACCCAGAGGTCCCAATGGAGACATACACTTTAGGACGCATATGGAGTGGAGTGTGATATTCTACACCTCTGGATCTGCGATGATTTGGTGCGGTGGTGCCTTAGCACTTGGTACTAAAAATGTCTTGGATAGGAGGCGCTGTCGACTTGAGGCAACGAACAGGAGTCATCCTTTCTATAAGCAACCATTTTGGCAATATACCAAGATAAGGTGTGATAAGGTGACTGGTGAGATTGCCACAATGAATGTGTGCGAGTTCCCTATATACGGTACCGGTATGTATATATAAAATATGTGCATTTTACCACTTCTTATTATACCGTCATCGCCCAGAAAGTAGACATATATGTCTTATCTCATACACTCGCAAAAAAAAACAAGGTTGTCTTGTACGTGTGCGGTTACATATTTCTTATGAATAGAAACTTTTTAAAAAGCTTATAACATTTCTCACTTACTGTATGGCCCCGGATATAAGCGCAGGCCTATGTTAAACGCGTATGCGGGTTGTTCCCAGTCACTAGAGCACTGTGATTAAATGGCTTGTTCCAAATGCGGGTCAGTGCGCCCATAACGCCCCATGCTAACATGCCTGCAACCCTTCATAGGATCAATCGGGGATCCCGCATGCAGATCTTGTGACACACCCCCATACAGGGAGGCTGAAACACGGCATATCGCAAACGGCAGCATGTGCATACACCGGGATTCGAATCCGAGACCTTTTGTTCTGATGTCCCAATCACTAAACCATTGGGATAAAAGGGCTTGTTCCAAATGTGGGTCAGTGCACCCAAAGCACCCCAGGCTAACATGCATGTACCGTATTCTCCCGGATAAAACACCCCCCCGTAATTGTACACCCCCTGGTAGCTAATACGGGGTGGGTGTTATATCCGACCCCGTTAGTACTATACCCCCCCTTTTGGGGTGATTCTCTATAACACCCCCTTTTCTTATACATTGATATGATAGGCTGTAGTGAGTTGCACTCTAGGGGGTACAGCTTCTAGGGTTGCTCATTTGTACCCCATTCGTTTCTATTCCAAGTCATTCCGCTGCTAACCACTCTTGAGATGGTATCACGAGCAGGACCGTTCCTAGCCCGTTCCTAGCCTAGTGTTCACCCTCCGCGCCCTCCGCGCCCTCCGCGCCTAGCTCGCGCCCTCCGCGCCCTCCGCGCTTAGCTCGCACCTCCGCACCCTTTGTGCCTCCGCGCCTAAACCGCGCCACTGCACCCTCCGCGCCTAGCCCGCGCCCTGCCCCTAGCCCGCGTGACGCCCGTAGGCTCTGCTCCAGCCCATCGCGGCGCCCGTGCGCCCTGCCCCTAGCCAGCGCGTAGCCCGTAGGCGCTGCCCCAGCTCGTCGCGGCGCCCCTGCGCCCTGCCCCTAGCCAGCGCGTAGCCCGGAGGCTCTGCCCCGGCCCGTCGCGACGCCCGTGCGCCCTGCCCCTAGCCCGCGCGTAGCCCGTGCGCCCTGCCCGTTGCCCACGCGCGGCCCGTACGCCCTGCCCCTCGCCCTCCGCGCCTAGCCCGTCGCCCACGCCCCAGCCCTTCACCGTCGCGCCCTCCCCCCGCCCTTTCCCACCGTCAAAACAGCCCTCCCTGCCCATTCCCACCGTCAAACCGCCCTCCTCGCCCATTCCCACCATCAAAACCGCCCTCCCGCCCATTCCCACCGTCAAAACCGCCCTCCCGCCCGTTCCCACCGTCAAAACCGCCCTCCCGCCCATTCCCACCGTCAAAACCGCCCTCCCGCCCGTTCCCACCGTCAAAACCGCCCTCCCGCCCATTCCCACCGTCAAAACCGCCCTCCCCGCCCATTCCCACCGTCAAAACCGCCCTCCCCGCCCATTTCCACCGTCGCAAACTCCCCCCCCCGCCCCTCTCTTCCTGTTACCCACCCTTGGCACGCGCCCTAGCCCCGCCACCGCCTTGTGCGCGGGGCCCTCCCCAGCTCTACTGACACTGGTCTATCACCCAGCGGCTGGCAGCCGCTCTCTCTTGCCGCCCGCCTAGGTTCGAGCCGTTTAGCCGCTAGTATCGCGCCCCTAGCCGTTGTAGCTGGAGATCCTCCGTTTCACGCCTAGCCTAGGTCACTCAGTGCTCCTAGCCTCTCACTCCGCCGTTCTCCCTCCTGGCGCTCCGTAGGTTTCCTCCTCGTTCTTAGCTCAGCCTCCGCCGTGCTCCAGCCGCCTCTAGCATGACATCCGTTATGGAGTCGCGTCGCCTCCGTTTCGACGCGGAGGGACGCCCGATAGAGTTCGGCACCTGGCAGCGCCAGACCACGCGCTTCCTCACCAGCCAGCGACAGGACGGCGCCACTCTGTGGGCTCACGCGTCTGGTGTCCTACCGGCCCCTCCGTCCCCCGCCGCCCTGCCGACCACCCCGGAGCCGACCCCTACGGCCCAGGCGGAGTACGACCGTCGGGTCCTGGCCAGGGACGTGTGGCTCTCGCGTGACGCTGCCGCCGCTCTCACACTGTCGGAGCTTCTCCCCCCGACTGAGGCCGCCCACTTTGACCAGGTGGAGACAGCCAAGGGGGTTTGGGTTGCTATTGTTGCCCGCTACTCTACCCCCTCCTCTGCCTCCCTCAGTCGCCTCCTCATGCCGTTTGTGTTTCCCGACCTTGGCTCGTTTGCGACTGTTTCCGACCTAGTGACTCACCTCCGCTCGCTTGACGCCGGTTTTCGTGCGGCCTGTACCGATGCACAGCTCCTTGTTTCTCCCCCCCACATGTGGCTCACTGTGCACTGGTTAGTCACCCGCCTCCCTGACCGCCTTGCCACTGCCCGCGACGCGCTTCTTCAGAAGCACCCCACTGAGCTCACTATATACCTCCTTCAGACTGCTCTCGGGACCATCGAGAGCAGCCTCCTCACCGTTGCCTCCGCCACTGATGCGGTGGCCCCCCGTCTCTTTGCAAGGTGTGCCGCCCCTCAGCTTCCCACTTTCACCTCTACCCGCGCTTCTGCTGCTGTGTCGGTCTCTGAGGACACCGCTGCCGTTTCAGCCGCAGACTGGCAGAAACGGGGCAAGAGTGGCAAGAAGGGCGGGAAGGGGGGAGGTGGGGGCGGTGGAGGCGGCGGTAGAGGTGGCGGTGGAGGTGGGAGCGGCGGTGGTGGCGGAGGCGGCGGCGGCGGTGGTGCACCAGGGGGAGGGGGCCTTGGAGGAGGTGCAGGACAGACAGGCCCACCCACAGGTGGTGGCCCGACCAGTGGGGGCGTTGCCCCCCAGCAGCAGCAGGCACAGCAGCACCAGCCACAGCAGGGACAGCAGCAGCAGCAGGGACAGCAGCAGCAGCAGGCACCGCAGCAGTTCCAGCAGTGGGGGCCCCCGCTGCAGTGGGGTCCGCAGCAGCACTGGGGTCCCCCGCCGCAGTGGGGTCCGGGAGGCCCTGGGAGCACCGGCCGCAGCAGCAGCTCTTCCAGCTGGGTCCCTCGCCCCCCTTGCCGTGACGCTGGCCCCTGCACCCACTGGTGCCTCACCGGGCCAGGCAGCCCCTGTCTCTGTGGTCGCGACGACCACTCTGCCGCGCGGTGCTTTCGTCGCCTCGACGACCTCTACCGGGCTCGTTGGGGCCCTCTGGCGGTCACGCCTCGCTGGTCTCGTCTGTTAGCCCGTAAGATTGATGTCTTTGATCTGTCCATGGACGATGCGCGTCAGCATGCTTTGTATGCTGATGCTGACTTTAGTGCTGATGGATCTGTGTGCTCGCGTGTT